GCAATTCTCCTGCCTCAGCCTCCAAAGTAGCTGGGATTACAGGCACCCACCACTATACCTGGCTAATTTTTAAAATCTTTAGTAGAGATGGGGTTTCACCATGTTGGCCAGGCTGATCTTGAACTCCTGACTTCAGGTGATCTGCCCACCTCGGCCTCCCAAAGTGCTGAGATTACAGGTGTGAGCCACCATGCCCAGCCTGATCTCCCACTTTTCAGAAACCAGAAGGCTTGGCAACCTCATGTTGATTGCACTCGCTTTTCCTTTAGGCCTGAGGAAGGGCAACCCTGCATCCATCAGTGCAGGAAATATCGGCAAGCCCTGAAGGCTGCTGTGGTCTGAGACAACAGTAACACTGGTAGAAATCACAAGTCCTATATCCCTGTCCTGTAGAACGTCTATTGTTTGGAGTGCAGTGGTGCTATCTCAGCTTACTGCAAACTCTGTCTCCCAGGTTCAAGCAATTCTCATTCCTCAGCTTCCTGAGTAACTGGGATTACCGATGTGCACTACCATGTCTGGCTAATTTTTGTAGTAGAGAAGGGGTTTCACCATGTTGGCCAAGCTGGTCTCGAACTCCTGGCCTCAAGTGATCTGCCTACCTTGGCCTCCCAAATTTCTGGGATTACAGGTGTGAGCCATTGGGCCTGGCCAGACTTCTATTATCTTTATCCTCTTCCTTCTGCAGCAACAGACTTGAGGTAAACAACTTAGAAAGTCAACAAGAATAAAAAAACAACTTTAATTGTTTTTGCTGACAATGACCTCAGCTATTGGCCCTACACAGATTTCTAGGTCCTGTCACTTGCTCAAAGCCACAGTCATGGGAAGATTTGTAAATGCACTTTTACAAGGGGCACATTCCAACTGGCTTGCTGCAGGCTCTGCCATATCCAGTATTTAAGTACCAATTATAGCTCACACCTGACCCCCGTCATCTTCTGAGTGACATCAGCCTATGGAATGTTTGATATCAGGGCATGTCTCCTTATAGAATTTCGTGAAAAGCTTCTCAACAGTGCTGGGCATCATATGACATCCTCTGGGTACAATGGAACAAATTTGTCCTATTCCCTGAAGCACAGGTGCTTGTCATAACAGCTGGCCTTTCCTCATGATGACCTCTAGTCTCACAGAAAGTATAGGCATCCAGGCCACAAATTAGAATAACCAAAACCTTGCATTGTCTCCTAGGAGATCTTACATAGCAAAACAAATATGACCAAAACCAGAATGAGAATTACTCTGTCATTTTACTTTTTCTGTAGAGGCCCATGAAAGCTGTCCACTCTTTCATGTAGAGTTCAAGTCTGTTTGCCACCCACCCCAAATAGTAAACAAAACCCCAAGATTACAGGTAGACTCAAATATAAGGTCTTTAGTGGTAGCACCTGCCTGTATTCCCAGCTACTCAGGAGGCTGAGGCATGAGAATCGTTTGAACCTGGGAGGCGGAGGTTGCAGTGGGCTGAGATTGCATCACTGAGCTCCAGCCTGGGTGACAGAGTGAGACCCTGTCTGTCTGATCACAGCATAGATCTGACTCCGTTTTGGTCAGGAGGGCCTAGCCTGGGTTCTGCTGGAGGCTTATGTGGAAGGCTTCCCTTCATGAAAATTCTTGGTCTCACAAGACACTTGGTCATTCTTCCAGCCTCCAAGTCACGACCTGGCAACTGGCTGCCTCACATTGCTCCAGTTGGTGCACTGGTAAAGCTATATATATATAATATGCATTTTTTGAGACAGGGAAAGATACACACCAGTTTTAGGATAGTAATTACTTTAGAGAGGGAAGGGATGATAAAGGAATAGAGATGTAACATTTTATTTCTTACAAATACAACACTAAAATATAAATAAGCATGTATAGAGAATAAGGCAGAATAGTAACATCTGTTTAATTTTGTTGTGGGTAAATCCCACAAGATTTTATATTTAGATTTTTTTATCATTCAATTGAAAATATTTCTTGTTTAATTATGATCTATGATTTCTTTTTTTTCCCCCTCAGGTATGGCCCAGGAAAGTGTGATGTCATCACATTGATCTATGATTTCTTTCTTTTTAAAAAGTCTGAGTTGTTTGGAAGTCTATTTTTTTATTATACTTTAAGTTCTGGGGTACATGTGCAGATCATGCAATACATATGCCATGGTAGTTTGCTGCTTCCATCCCCCCATCATCTACATTAAATATTTCTCCTAATGTTATCCCTCCCCAATCTCCCCACCCCCTGCTATAACTCTCCTAGTCCCCCCAGCCCCCAACAGGCCCCAGTGTGTGAAGTTCTCCACCCTGTGTCCTTGTGTTCTCATTGTTCAACACCCACTTATGAGTGAAAACATGTGGTGTTTGGCTTTCTGTTCTTATGTCAGTTTGCTGAGAATGATGGTTTCCAGTTTCATCCATGTCCCTGCAAAGGACATGAACTCATCCTTTTTTATGGCTGCATAGTATTCCGCAGTGTATATGTGCCACATTTTCTTTATCCAGTCTATCATTGATGGGCATTTGGGTTGGTTCCAGATCTTTGCTATTGTGAACAGTGCCACAATAAACATATGTGTGCATGTGTCTTTATAATAGAATGATTTATAATCCTTTGGGTATATACCCAGTAATGGGATTGCTGGGCCAAATGGTATTCCTATTTCTGGATCCTTGAGGAATCTCCACACTGTCTTCCACAATGGTTGAACTAATTGACACTCACACCAACAGTGTAAAAGTGTTCCTATTTCTCCACATCCTCTCCAGCATCTGTGGTCTCCAGATTTTTTGATGATGAGCTTTTTTTCATGTTTCCTGGCCACATAAATATCTTCTTTTGTAAAGTGTCTGTTCATATCCTTCACCCACTTTTTGATGGTCAGCCTGGTCTCGAACTCCCGACCTCAGGTGATCCGCCCACCTTGGACTCCCAAAGTGCTGGGATTACAGGTGTGAGCCACTGTGCCTGGCTCAGAAGTTTTAAAATACACTAGTAGCCTCAATAATATTTACCATTTCTAAAATTCCTATTTTGTATGATGACATTTTTATAACCACCATTTTATTTATTTATTTATTATTTATTTATTTATTTATTTATTTATTTATTTATTTGTGCTGAGTTTTAATTGCAGTTTGTGCTATTCTGTGAATTAGGAATTCAAACAAAAGAAAAAAACCACATTGAGAAACTGTAGAGGAGCTGGGGGCTCTGTCTCCATTCCCCTCCTCATCATACACAAATCATGCTTTTACCAAAAAAAAAAAGGTCGCTGAGGCAGCACAGATGTGACAGCTGAGGAACCTGCAGCACAGATTCAACAGGCATCTGCCAAGTCCACACTCAGGACTGAGTGACAGCCAGTCCACAGCATGAGGTCCAAATACATCCACTGCCAAGGCTCTGCCCACGCAAACACAGCCATCAGCTCTAGCAAAAGGGACGCCGCCTTCTTCCTCCCCCACTTCTCACCTGGTTAAGTCCAGGAATCAAGAAAGCAAAAACGGCTGGGCATGGTGGCTCACGTCTATAATCCCAGCACTCTGGGAGGCTGAGGCGGGTGGATCACCTGAAGTCAGGAGTTCAAGACCAGCCTGACCAACATGGTGAAACCCCGTCTATTAAAAAAAAAAGAGAGAGAGAGAGAGAGAGAGAAGCAGTCACTGTTATAAGCAGCACCAGCTGCACAGGTAGAAGCACCTCTGGTGCCACTTTCAAGATAAAACAAGAGTATAGTTGAAATATCTGATTTGAAAATGTTGACCTCCTTTCCTACGGCATTGCTAAGGGTCCCACAGGAAGGTTGGTGGCAACAGGGAACAAACCCTGGAAGTGGTGCAGCTACTCTGGGACCAGGTAGCTCCGGCCAGAGGCCTCACTCCATGGCAGCCAGCTGCTCGATGGCACGGCGCACTTTCTTCGCAGTTTCTTCAAATTCTTTCTTCTTATTGTTGGTTTCCTTTGCAATTTTGTTCTTGGCTCTTTCTCTGTCCAGTTTCAGAAATTCACCGAGCGTTAATTCTTCAAACTGCTTCTTGACAGAAAGGAAAGCGCAACCGGATGAATGCTTTTTATGTTCCTCTATGGGATCGTCATCTGGCTCCCAGCCTTCCAGCTCCTTGAAGCAGAAGAAACACTGGGCCAAGTCCGGCTCGTTCTCAGTCGGGCAGTGGATGAAGCCCGCTTCGGCCATCCGCTCCGGGGTGCAGGCGCAGCCCTCCAAGAAGGGCCAGTTCTTGAATGTAGAGATGCGGTGGTCCTTGAGAAACGGCTGCCAGGCAGGGGGCAACGTCGGGGCACCCATGCCGCCGCCGCCACCTCTGCCAAACGGTCCGGCGACTCAAATCCCTATTATTTATTTGTTTTAAGATGGAGTCTCACTCTGTTGCCCAGGCTGGAGTGCAGTGGAGCAATCTTGGCTCTCTGCAACCTCTGCCTCCCAGGTCAAGCAATTCTTGTGCCTCAGCCTGCTAAGTAGCTGGGATTACAGGTGTGCCACCATGCCTTGCTAATGTTTTGTATTTTTAGTAGTGACAGAGTTTCATCATGTTGCCCAGGCTGGTCTTGAACTCCTGAGCTCAGGCAATCTACCCACCTCGGCTTTCCAAAGTGCTAGGATTGCAGGCAGGAGCTACCACACCTGGCCTCATTTTTGCATTTTTTAGTAGAGACAGGGTTTCACCATGTTGGCTAGGCTGATATTGAACTCCTGGCCTCAAGTGATCCACTCACCTTAACCTCCCAATGTTCTTTTTTTTTCCCTCCATTTTCCCCGCCACCTTTCCTGGCCCTCATTGGGTTTTGGACACTCTTGGCAGTTATTTTCTTTTCCTACAACATTTCACTTTTCCCTGGCTTCCACTGTTGCTGATAAGAAGTTAGATGTCAGTCTTACTGTTATTTGATGTTTTTCTGTCTTCGTCTCTGGTTGCTTTTAAGATTTTCTCAGACTTTCTGTACTTTCACTGTTATGCATCAAGAAGTGGGTTTCTTTTCATTTATTCTGCTTTGGCTTTCTTTAATCTGTCAGTTGGTGTCTTTCATAGGTTCTAAGAAATTCTGTCATTTTGTTTCTGAATGTTACCTTTTCCCCATCTTTCTTTCCTCTTTGTCTCTCTGGAACTCCAAGTATAATCAATCTTCATTATTTGTGGATTGCATATGTGCAGATTCATCTATTTGCTAAAATCTATTTGTGACCCCCAAATTAATCTTATTTTCATGGTCATTCATGGACATTCTCAGAGTGGCAAAAAATTGGAGTCACCTGATGTACATGTTCCCAGCTGAGGTCAAACAAGGTGATGCTCTGCCTTCTTTGCTTCAGCTCTCACCCTGTAAACACATGTCCTTTTTGCTATCTATTTAGTGCTTTGGTTTTGCTTTTTCTTTTTTGTTGGTGATTTCTCTGTTTAAAAGCTTTTTTGGTGCAAGAAGGCTGTGAAAATCAGTGTGTTAGATAAGCTTCATTCAAACATGAGTTATAGTGCTGTTGGCCATGAGTATGTTAAATAAGCTGCCTTTAAACACAAACACACATAAAACAAAGTTACATATTGATTAATTAATGAAATAATTATGAACAGATGCTCATAGGAACTTAACCTTTTATTTCTCCTAGGAACAATGGTTTAGTATTCACTAATCCAGTATTCACAATGACTTTATAGAACATAACTCTTGTCAATAATGAGAAGTGACTGTGTTAGAACATCTTCTATCTTCTTTATTTCTCACTTTCTCTTTTTTATCTTCTATTGTTTTGTCTCTCTATGTAGCATAATAGATAATTTATTTCGACTTAATTTCTGGTTCATTATTTGCCCTTCAGTAGCACCATATGACTACTGAAGCACTGAGTTTTAAACTTCAGTTATTTGTTTTGCCATAAGTTTTATTTGGTTTCTTTTTAAGTCTTCAATGTCACTTTTTAGAGTTTCCTATTCTCTGTAGATTTGATCTAGCTTATTTTTCATTTCATTAAAAATGGTAAGCCACCTCACAGTTATTTAATAGTCTGTATATGGTAATTCCACTATCTGAAGTTTTTTAGGGTCTGTTTTTATTGTTGGTTGTAGCCAGTGATTCTTGCTTTTGGGGTCTAGTTTTCTTGTGTGCTTGGTCATCTTTTATTGAGACAGGATGCTGCTCTCTTGCCCAGCTTGGAGTACAGTGACATGATGATGACTCACTGCAGCCTCAACCTCCTGTACTCAAGTGATCCTCCTGTCTCAGCCCCTTAAGTAGCCAGGACTACAGATGTGTACCATCATGCCCATGCTTGGTTATCTTTGACCATGTGTTCCTCACTGCATTTAAAAATTATTTGTAAGAATAATTTGAGATCAAGGATAAAGGTTTCTTTCTCCAAACATATGTGTTTGTTTCTGTCAAGTACTTGGGGGTACCAGCAATATGGCATTTCCTTAAACCTAGCTCAAGCCTGGACGTTCTATGAACAACCCAGAGAATCAGACTTGGGTTGTAATCCCATGTGAGGACAGTCCCAACTCTGGTTCATCCTTTTCCTGAAGGTGTAGCACTCTGGGGGTCCTAGCTTTTTGAGGGGAGGATCTCCTATTTGTGGGTGCTCCAAGCTTTGACTTCTTTCCTGATGCCACCTGCTCTGTGAATTATTCAAAGTGAAAGTTCAAAAATTTATGATTCTCAAGAACCCTTAGAGAAAATGTTTCTTTTGCTCTTATTCACCTCGCTGGTAAATATTTAACCTTTAATTCTGGCCTAGTAATTCCTTACCATCTTGTCAGGACTTGTATGCTTTTTTGTTTTTTTTTTTTTTCGAGATGGAGTCTTGCTCTGTTGCTCAGGCTGGAGTGCGGTGGCACGATCTTGAACTCCTAGCTTCAAGCAATCCTCCCCTTTTGGCTCCCCCAAAGTGCTGGGACTACAAGCGAGCCACCATGCCCTCTTCCTGGCTTAATTCCTCATCTTCTGTGTGTGATAACTCAAATGGGAGAAGACATATCTCCAGAAGGATAAGCAGTAGGTATAAGGCAGAGGACACTTCCTCAGGTGAAAAAGTCCTGCAGAAACATAAAGTAACTCTAGTTCAACTACACACAGCTATTTTTGCAACAATTTCTATCACAAATCAAAACTCAGTTCATCAATCTAAAAGGGTCTTCATTCAAGTTGCTCCATAGTTTCCATCAAGAACAAAGGATAGGATTGAAGAACATTAAAAAAAAAAAACCAAACAAATCAAAAACAAAGGGCAGGTACTTTCTTTCAATGTATGGAACTGAAGGACCCATTCAAGTGTTCTCTCCAACCCTCTCCCCTAAAAGGAGCAGCTGGAACTAAAGATAAATTCACATATCTACTTCCCAATCTTGATGCTTGTACTTTTAAAATAATAGCTTTCTCAACTTTTATCCATCAATATTTCCCCCCAAAATTCTCAGAGCTCACATCCTAGACATCTTGCCAACTTTCCATCAAATCAGCAGATGCCAACTGCCGCTTTCCTCCAACTTTCCCTTTCCCGACTTTGGGTAGTTTACATGGAACAAGAGTTAATGGCCTACAATGCTGCCTTTCATAAAAGCTGCTTGCTACTAAATAGGCCAGCATATTTGCTTATAAAAACAGGCAGCTCTGTGGCAATATTTTATTTCTGTGATGCTTTTTCCATTTTATCAGGACACGCCAGAAATGTGATCATTTTGGTTGATGGTCCTTAGTACAATGGACTCAACTGTTCAGCTTCAGCATACTTTGATCTGGTTTTTGACTGGCTAAGAACCTTAAGCTATTTTGACACATCAGTGAGACACTGAATCTCTTATGGAGAAGGCAAAGTAGGGCTTGAAGAAACAGTCTATTTGTTTTTAAATGTGAAAATTAGTGCTTATAGTCCAGCAAGTTTTTGTTTATCTTACAGAAATGCAAGATATCTCAAGAAAGTATCTTAAAAGATTACCTTTTAGGACAATTTGCTTTCCACCAGAAAATATGTATATTGAATGTGAATGTGAAATGGAGTGAAAGTGTCCGTGTATAATATAAAGTGCACCAGAAAGAGGAATGAATGGAGGAAGGGAGACAGCTATTCCTCAGGCAGAGGAAAAGAAGGAATAATTTATTTAAACCTTCCATCTGCCTCCTCACTTCTGTCCCCACAAGTTTATAGGGACAAGTAGTTGAGGATATACTAGGTTATGGCATAGTGTCAACTCCAAATCTTAGTAGCTTAACACAAGAAATATTTATTTGTCTCTCATATCCAATAGGTCTAAGGGACTTTCTAGCATGACTATAGCTATATGTGGCACCTAAGCTATTCAGCCTGATGGAGGCTTTACCATCCAGTAATTGTACCATTTTAAACACACAGTTGTTTTAAACTTCCCATGATGTAACATGGGAAGAAAGAGTTTGAGGCTTGGCTACATGCTACCTTCTAACTGGGCACCTTTCTTCTCAATGCAACTAGACTCATCTCTCTAAAATGCAAACTGGTTCATGCCACTCCCTTGCTTACAACTCTCACCGCCATTAGCGTAAAGTCCAAATTTTGATTCCATGGTTTGTAAGATTCTCTAATTATTTCTCTAGCTTCACTCCCCGTTAGTCCCCTATTGCCCTCTCGCACTCTATGATCTTGCTATGCATTCTTTTTCTGGTTCTTGAATTGAGTGGCTTACCTCGCTGCTTTTGCTCAGACTGTTCATCCTGCCTGTGACACTCTTTCTCCACCTCATTCATCTGGCAAACTCCTATTTGTCCTGCGGGCTTCAGTTTACATGTCACTGGAGTCTCCCCCTTGGCCTCCTCAACCATGCTGCAGGTCCCTCCCCTGTGCTCCCATGGTCATCAGTGTTTCTCGTGTCACAGTGCTACCCTCGTAATATCATAATTAACAGTTTATTATCTCCTTCACTGCAATGTGAGGTTCATAGGAGCAGGGACTATGCCTGTCTTGTCCAATGCCTGTCTTGTCCAATGCCCAGCACATGGCTTAGCAAAATATTCGTGAACAAAAAACTAAGTAAAAGAATGACTGAATGGGCCAGGCAGGGTGGCTCACACCTGTAATTCCAGCACTCTGGGAGGCCATGATGGATGGATCATGACATCAAGAGACTGAAACCAGCCTGGCCAACATGGTGAAACCCCGTCTCTACTAAAACTACAAAAATTTGGGTGTTGTGGCGCATGTTTGTAGTCCCAGCTACTCAGGAGACTGAGGCAGGAGGATCACTTGAACCTAGGAGGCAGAGGTCGCAGTGAGTTGAGATCATGCCACTGCACTCCAGCCTGGCACAGAGCGAGATTCTGTCTTTAAAAAAAAGAAATGATTTAATGTCAGAAATACTGT